ATCCCACCCTAGCCACCCAAGTTATCGGCGTCAAAGTTGGAAGACTTGCATTGCACGATTTTTGAAGTTTGTTAGATAAAGTTTGGCCACAATTTCGCCACACTACATTACAATAATCAAAATGTGGTTGTATTGAGCTTGATAAATAATATGCAATGTTTTCAATGGAACAAATTACCTTTATAGCCGCTTAATAGCACCGATACCGGAAGCAATTCGTTTAGTCATTATTCATGCATATTTTTGCGAACACATCTTGTTGACAAGTTGTGCAATTATTACGTGTGCCCCTCCAAACGAGAACAGTTACATGAGAGTTGGCTAGATATTACCAGTCAAAACGAGCCAAAATTTTCATCGAAATTTTAACCAGGGTGATATTACCGGTCAGAGTTCAGCATTTTCTGTTTCACAAGAGACCAGTTGTGTTAAGGCTTGGTTAGCACTATATCTCTGGAGTCTAGGTTAAATTTATCCCGTTGTTTTGGTTCGTTTATTTATGTACGTCCCTTTACAGGGCCGTGGTAACCGGGGGGGCGGCAGCTCCCCCCCCCGGCCAATAATTTGCTAATTATTTTTTCAAAATCATGCAGTCTTCAAAATCATGCAGGCTATAACGCTGTTTTCTGACCATCAGAATTCTGTCAAATCTTCCCTAAAGTCCAGGAAATGGCATCCCATAGACAATAAATTAAAAAATGTCCCCTATAAAATCTCGCGCCTGCGGGGTTCGACTCGGGCCTCGTTCTCTGCCCCTACCCCCCTCCTCCAATCAATATAAAGAAAATCGAACCTCGCATGATCCTGAAAAAATTCTTTAAAAACATTTTCAAGTGTATGAACAAACTGTAGGGACGTTTTATGTTGTTTTTCTTGGTCGTGAATAGGTTCAAAGCCCGATTAGCGCTAACGCTTTGTTTATGTATTTCTGCATGATCATAGAAAAAAAACCTCTATTGAACCAGAAAGGATTTCTGGAAGGATAAATTTAGTTGATAGACAAAGACATGAATCTTTCCCAGACATTTCTCCTTGGAATTAAATAAATTCAAAAAGTCGCCTTGAAAAACTGGTGGAGGCGTCCAATGTGATTTTGATCGGAAATTTTGCATTTAGATTATTCTAGGTTCTATGAGACACCATTTCCCGCCTTCATGCCATGATAATGGTTACCCCCCTCATTGGTTACGCCATTAATGCTTTATCCCTATCGATCGATCCACATTATTATTTGCAGCTTTGCTAATATAATGATATCGAAGGAAGTATAACTGTTATAGTTCAGTTGGTAGAGCGTTGGACATCAAACCGAAGGACGCGGGTTCGATTCCCACAGGGGTCAGGCACCTTGCCCGGTTGTATAATTTGCCACAGTTCTAGCCCTACAATCATTTACAGAAATATCGATACTGTTATGCTTCTATATATAATAGTTTGACTCGTCCACAGTCCCTCAAACTTGCTTTAAAAACATCAAGATCATGCTGGCCCAAATTTGCAGGCGCTTACAGGTTTGGAAACTGACTAGGACACAACGGCCCATGGGAATCATAATAGTCATAATATTTCAAGTACAAAAATAGACATTTCTATATAATTAAAATTTTATTCTATGTAGATTATTTTAAAAGTTGTCCGTATGTTTCTTGAACCAGCCCAGTAGCATGCTATTAGTGTAAAGTCATATTCCAGTTTATTGGGTTAACATCCAAAAGTTTTCTTTCCAATTCCATGTCAGTTTCTCTCATTCTCCTTGAAGTCTTTTCTTTCTCTTCCATTATCTAATGAATGCAAAACATGATCTAGTAGTAACCCCCCGGCATAATTAATCAATGAAATCAATACTAATTATGTCAATCAATTGATCATCTGGTATTGTGCGTTACGAGTTCATTGATTGATTTGTACTGAAAAATCCCCTACATCAAGTAGCGGTTAGAAGTACATATTCCGAGTGGTTTAATGTTAAATCAGGTGTTCCACCAGGGAACAATTGTTGGCCCCATCCTCTTTCTGATCTACATCATCCTCGTCCCCCAGGGCCTCTCGGCATCTAAATCAATGACTTTCCTGACGGTGTATCAAGTTCAGTCAAGCTTTTTGCTGACGACACCAGAGTATATCGTGAGTTATCGGATGTGGAAGGCGACGCGTCAGTGTTACAAACTGATTTAGATTTTATGAGTGATTGGGCCAAGAAATGGCTAATGTCGTTTAACTCAGACGAATAAGAGGTAATGAGAAAAACCCACCACCGAGATTTGTCAGTACCTACGTACCATCTCTTTGGCAAACCACTCAAAGTTACTAAAAATTTCAAAAATCTAGGAATAATTATGTGTAACAATCTGAAGTGGTGTGAACAAGTCAACTCAACCGTTAACGAAGCAAATCGGATCCTAGGTCTAATTAAACCGACAGTCGGCTCCTCTAATGGAGCAATTTATTTAAAAAATAAATTAGGATTAATAGGACGCAACATCCATACCTAAAATTATGTTAACCTAAACGGAAACGATAAGCAAAGATTATTATTAATATCTGCCAAGTGTCAATGCCAATATAATCCCGTTTTTAATATAATCAAGTTTTCTTGCACTTCCGGTTCCGTATTTCACAGGGCTTAGGGAGGACGCGCGCAGCCGAGAGGCCCTGGGGACGAGGATGGGGGTGGACTTGATCAAATTTTCTGACTCAAGTCAAGCTATTGACTCGACTCGACTTAAACCAGTGACTCGACTTGACTCGAGTGAAACCGCTGACTCGACTCGAGTGAAGCCACTGACTCGACTCGAGCCGACTCGATCAGAAACAGAAATGACTCGACTCGACTCGTGACTCGACTCGTGACTCGACTCGTGACTCGACTCGTGACTCGACTCGTGACTCGACTCGTGACTCGACTCGTGACTCGACTCGTGACTCGACCTGTAGGTGACTCGTTACAACACTGCCCTTACTCCGGCACCCTGATGTTGTCTCTCCAGCTTTTCTGGGGGCCTTTACCCCCAAGAAATTAGGTTAATCCTGGGTTGACATTAAATTTTAAAAACTTCCCAGCATTAGATTTGAAAAAAATTCCCAGCAGCTCGCCTATTTCTTCCACCCTTGATAGTGATGAAGTGCAACTTTTATACCTGCCTCACATTTAGGGCCAGCTCCCGTCCAACTAGCAATCCGGTCCGACTTAATAATAATAATAATAATAATAATAAAAGCATTTATTTAAACACGATAGTAAATTTACAGCATAGCTGATGTGGTCGTGCACGTGAAACTAACTACAATATATAAATATAAACTAACTGAATACATCTATCTCTACATGATCTAACAAAACAACAAATTACATATATGTCACATAACTGAGTTTAAATTTTACACAATCCATACATATTAACTATTTAAACGTATGGCGTCACATTGTAGCACAATTGTTATATATATGACTATCTAATTTTCAGTCAGTAATATAGTCTAGGACCTGTATAGATGTTTGTATGCGTTTCATTTAGCACAGGTAATCTCAACTGTTTTAGGGTAAAATGACCATGGCGGTCAACATGGCATATGTGCCAAAACCTGAATCCGGGGCGAAGTCCTGAAAATGACCCCGCCTTAAACGGCAGTGCGGACATAGCTCTAACTTCCGAAAAGCAAAAGCGACAGCCTTTCTGAAGTGCTTATAGTGTTTAGAAGAGTTGCTTTTAGGGGTGGTCATAGGAAGGAAAAATTTGTCTAAGTATAATATTTTACCAGAAAATGACTATGCACCACCCCAGGTAAATTGCTGATTATGCACAAAATAACTAATATGCCTGGCAGAAATTTAATGTTCTTATTTCCTTAAGAAAATTATCATGGGATGAAAAACTATGCTTCATTTAATATAATTATTGTAGTTTTCATAAGGATTGTCATTGTTTTCTTTAAATATAATACATTTTAATTCACTCACCCCCCACGAAAACACCATTTCAGCCATACTTTGCCGTCTTGTTTGCTTTTTATCGCCGAGTCTCGCTGATATCATCCAGTTGTTGTACTTTTACATAATAATAGATGGCTAAAGACGATTTCGACGAAGTTTAATGAAGTTTTGAAACAGTGCAGTATATTTTATCTTCGATATTGTGTCCTTCGATATTTCGTCAAATTGCCGCCATTTTAATGGCTCGCCGCTTCTCTGCAGCCCGATAAATGCCACTTCTTCGTCTTCCTATGTGTTTAGACTACAGTATCCAAGAGTAATTCGTTGTAGAATAGTCCCAATCGAAAAAATAAAAAGATTTGTTGGGTTTTGATGGGAAAACCCTCCCGGTGATTATTTAGGTTCAAAATAAAATACAAAGCATTTGAAAGTCACGCGCAATCTTCGCGAAAACTTCTCGTGGACACATGACGGGGGGGGGGGTTAAATATTTTCACGAAACGTTTGTTCGCCACCGCAGAAGCCTAAAATATATTGTATTTATTGCAATAAATATTTGGGTAGTTTTATCATAATTCATAAAAATATAATAAATACAATATATTTTAGGTTTCTGCGGTGGCGAACAAACGTTTCGTGAAAATATTTACCCCCCACTTGGTAGAGTGTTGCGAAATCTTTAAGTTTCTTTCTCTCCTTTACAACCAATTCTCTCAACAATCTCTCAGCACCAACAAATGACGTCCTGTTATCAGAGATTATCGTGCTAGGCCAGCCATGATGTGAAGCAAAACGTCGCAGTGCATGAAGAAAGGCTTCAGCTGACGTACTCTCTACGATTTCTAGGTGAATGGCTCGAACTGTCGCACAGGTAAATATAGCACCCCAGGCTTTGACACTCTTATTTTGCGAAACTTTAAGATTAAAGGGACCGAACAATTGACTCCTAAGGTTTTGATTAATTCCTTCTTCACCGTCTAGGTTGACATTCTTTGTCGTTGTACATTCACTATTTACACCTATCACGTTACCTTTGAAATCAGGATTTTCTTCTTCAGGACTAGAAACGTTCTCAGCTTGCATTTCTTGAACAGACGACGAAACAAACCATTCCTTTATATTAAAACTCCCCGTAGCTAACACGTCGTCGACTTCGCCTTTGGACTTTTCTGCTTCTTCCTGCGTGCTTGTTGAATGATTAAGATCATCCATGTACCGATCACGTTTGAGAATCACGGCAGGTTGAGGACATTGGGACTCATTTTCATTCGCGATCTTGATCATAACGTAACTTGCCATGTCCGGCGATGGTTTATCTCCGAATGTGACTCTTTGGAGTGCGTAAACTGTTGGGTCTCGACTTTCATCTAAATCTCTCCATAAGTATCGGTGGACAAGCGTGTCTTCTTCAGGCAGACAAATCTGCAAATACATCTTCCATATATCGCCAACAAGGCCAACAAGATCTTCTCTAAAGCGCAATAACACTCCAAGTAGATTTCCAATAAGACAAGGACCTTTGTAGAGAAACGAATTCAATGATACTCCTTGATATTGGCAGGCAGGGTCGAATACTACTCTCAAGGGCGTACTTTTCTTCTCGGGTCGATAAACTCCGTGATGAGGCAGGTAATATTTTGGTTTATCTTTGGCTTCTACTTCTTCTTGTGACAACTGACGCGACCAACCGTTTCTCTCGTACTCATTCACGACTTGGTTGTACGGGCTGGCCTTAACATCTTCCATTTCAGGCTTCTTTTTAGCAAAAACAATCTTTTCTCAGCTAGTGAATAATTGTTAGGCAAAAGATTTTTTATCTTTCTTCCAAGGAAGTCCAATGACATATCTCCCTCCTTGCTGCTTTTCCGGAGTTCTCCATCAACTCGATGGCTCATCTGTCGTCAGGTGACATAGCTATCTGTGGACAATGACATTGGGGGGCTTGGATTCCGAGGGTTTCAAACTCGTAGAATTTCTCTAGGTTGACGGGTTGGACAAAACTTATTGAACATCCTTTGGACGTTTTCTGTGAACTATCAGAACTGATGACAAACCATCCTAGCTTAGGCTCAAATTGACGGCCTTGACGTACTTCATCTTCTGCGCGCAAATGACTGAACTGGACGCCTAAGACAAGATCGATTGGACCAGCTTTATGCGAGAAGTCGATGTCTCGAAGGTGTGCAAAATGATTTCAACCACGGACGATCCAAACGTGGGACACTTAAAAACGGTTTTCTCGATCTCGTGGGCTTCTATTCTGTGCTCTTCGGCTCCGTTGAATGATGAGATTGAGAAGGTCACTCTTCTGCTTTGGGGTTGTTCAACTCTTTCTCCTCCAACAACGGCTAGATCAATTTTTCTCGTTTGCCTTGCAGACCAAGTGATCGGGCAAAATCCTTTCGAATTACTGTTGTACCTGCGCCGCTGTCGATGAGGACATTTGCGTGTTCGACCATTTGATGCTCTGAAACAAACTCTAACAACTGGTAGAATGCTTCCCTTGTCCAGCACTGATGATATACCGCTCATTGTTTCAGGCTCTTCGTGTAACAGTTGATGATGAAGTCTTGTGCATCCATTTTTCTCGCATTTTTTCTTCGATCTACAGTCTCTCGTCACGTGACCTTTATTCAGGCAAGAAAAGCACAATCTTGTCTCTCTCACTAAGTTGAAACGTTCAGGGACGGTAGAATCAGCTAAGGTAGGACAATCTATCACTTTGTGGTCTTCATTACACAATTAACATTTCAAGGCTTTCGAATGGTCGTTCCTTTGTGCTGCGTTAATTCCGTGTCTTTCTCTTGCTTCGCCCTTTCGCGGGTCGTACTTTGGAGGTTTTAGAGACATATCTCCAAAGTCGGGATCATATTCCGCCTTTACTTGTTTTCGCAAGAAGGTACTAAAATCTTCAATCGTAGGGGATCTCCGTCTCTCTCTAATATTTATTACTATGCTTTTCCATTTCTGAATGAGATAATCCGGTAATCTCATTACTATCTTTCGGAGGTTGTCACTGGCGTTGACGTTAGCGAAGTACTTGACTTGATGCATGGTTGCTACGCGATTAACTAAGTCTATCGAAAGTTCTCGAAGCGCGCGTCTATCGTTACGTTGAATCTTGTCTCCCTTGGTAAGTTGATTTACCAAAGAATAATACATTTGTGTCAGAAATAAATACTATTTGAGTCAGAAATGGTTAATAACTTTTATTAATTTGTCTTTGTGGTATTTAATTGCGAAGAACTAGCCAATGACTACTTAGCGAAGAACTAAAACACAATAATATACAGTATAATATTACAGCTAATAGTAGCATATGAGTAGTACAATATGCCAAATTGGCAATCCCTTCGTTAATCTTGTCCGCACAGTAATTCAAAGAAGCCCTGCCATCTGTACGAGGTTGTATTAATTGGATTCTGTCCAAGAAAACGTCATAAACCTTTTGATCCAAATGTTACAAAGTATGTTAAGAAATGTTCTATTCACAAAAATATTAAATTATAGTGACAGCCACCAATACCAGAATTCATTTTCATCAGCTTCCCCTGTTGTAAATAGTTAGAATTACTCGATAAAAGGTTTAAAACTTCTTTAATTCTCACTTAAACTTCGACATAAACTAGATTTTGTGTTTCTTGTTAATATTATGCAATCCTAGGAAAAGCATGCGTTCTTCCAGGAAAAATCCCACGCGTCTCGCGCGATTCTCACGCGTCTATAATTAGACTAACATTACGTCATTCTCGACACACTCCCCTGTTTGACTACGGAGTTGTCAAACACATCCAAATATATATATCTAAACAATTTCAACATTAAATAGTATCAAATAGTTAGTGGTTAATGTTTAAATGTCAACATTGTCCTCTCGCACAAGTTCCTTAATCCGTAACTCAGCTGCCGCGGCTGCATCTCTCTTGGGCTTCGCACGAAACTCTGGAGCTTCAGGATTCAGTTCCACTAATTTGGTTTGTTCTACCACCGAATCACAAGACAGTTCGACAGGATATAAAAACTGTACCGCACGTTCCATGATTGCCTTTGCCGTGCACACTTTCGCACCTCGAATAACACCGTCTCTCCCCTGGATCAACTCGATTATGATTCCAAGTACCCATGCGCCTCGATTCTTTTGTTCGGACTGAATAACAACAACTTCTCCGACCGAGGGTATTCCTCGTTCTCCTTTCTTCTTCGCGATGTATCTTTCTCGAAGGCTTCGAAGATATTCCATTGACCATCTCCAAACAGCGTCCTTACATTTCTGAAGATATTTATATCTTTTTCGCAAGTCCTTGTTTTCGATTAGATGATGGGAAGGTTCCAAGAGTTGGTTTGCTCGCAAAAACAACAAAGAATTAGGAGTTATCATGGTTGACTGAATATCTTCTTCTTCGACATATCCCAGGGGTCGATCGTTCAGTGTAGTTTCCACACTCAGCAAGACGGCTTCGAGCTCTTTCCAACTTAATTGACCATAACCGATCACCTTGTAGAGCGCTGCCTTCACTAAACCAACTGATCTTTTAAATTGTCCGCCCCACCATGGGGTACGGCTCAAGTTGAACTGCCATGATATGCTATTTCTGGCCAGGTAATCCTGCAACCCTTCGTCCTGCTTCAGCATTTTTACCCACTTCGCCGCCGCTACAAACGTCGTCCCGTTGTCCGAATAAATACGCTCAAGACGACCGCGCCTTGCAATAAATCTTTGGAGGCTGTTTAGACACGCGGACGTCTCCATGTTAAGCAGAAGTTCGAGGTATACTCCACGAGTAAGACTACAAGCGTATAACAAGATGTACGCCTTGCCTTCTTTTCCTTTCGACTTTCGATAACGTAGTGGACCCGTGTAGTCAATTCCGATAACTTGGTGTGCAGTGGATCCTTCGGTTCTGGTGGTTGGTAAGTTCGCTGGAGGCGGCGTTGCGTAAGCAATGGCGTGGAATCTCTTGCATCCATGGCAATCTTTAATAACCCGCTTCACTAATCGTCGCAAACGAGGGATCCAATGTCTTTCTCGAACGTTCACCATTGTCAATCCGACTCCCCCGTGAAGTGTGGACTTGTGTGCATGTTCGACGAATTTTCTTGCCAGCAATAATGAATTAGGAATGTAGACCGGGTAACACCCCTGAACTCTTCCTCTGCACTCTAAAACACCGTCCTCATTTAATTGTAAACTAAGTTGCAATTGATCTCTCGTAAAGGTTTCGTCAACTTGTTGTTGAGCTTTCGTGATCAAACGAATTTCAGCTTTCTCTAAATCACCGGTTGTAAGTGGACCTTCAATTCTTCTTTCTTTCGCACACCGAATGTTTCCAAGGAACCGTAATAACCAGGCCGTAATCCTCAAGGTCTTCCAATAAGCAAACTTAGAGAGCAAGTT